TGTACACAGCGGTCCCCTGGGTTCCAGTTAGTGCGTAATTACGCATCGATAAAAAACTGGAGGTTTAAAAAAAAGATCATTAGCTCACTGATAGTTTGATGTAGAGGCTGTGGAAATATCCACAAGTCTTGGTCTTTAAAATGCATTTGGTTTGATGGCGTTCTGTGCTTCCATTGCGAAGATATGGACAAAAGAATATTCATGCTTGGTCAAAAATATGTCATAAAAACAAAAAAGTAAAGGCTGAGAAAGCATTCACAATGTATTTTATACACAAAGCAAGTATTCTCGCAACTCTAAGAGGTTTCGTGAAAGCGCTACAGGCGTGCCAAAATCGTTTTTGAGCTTCAAGCTAACTTTACCCCGGTGAAAAAGGTGAGTGTGAATCTGGTATGTTATCATCCATCTGTAAAAGGAGACAGGAAACCCTGCTATACTGTAGTTCAGAGTCATTTGTTTTCTCCGGTTTTCATAACCTTCGCTTATTAAAATGCCTATTTTTGAGACCACGATTTTTCAGATGTCAATAACTTTGCGAAAATGACACAGAGCCTTCAAACCACACACATTTAAGAGATCGCGATCTGTGAAAATTGTCGCAGCTTTCATTTAAACAATACCCAGTACCTGGCTGCATATTTAGGAACCTGAGTTTGAATAAAGCGGATCCCAGGTGTAAGCGAGTTCATAACGTGAGAACACATGATGCTACATTTTTACGCATCAGTTGAACCCTTCTGAGGTCTCTCAAAAAAACATAAAAATATAACATGATTGTAAATGTAGCCTCTATGACTAAAGTGCGAAGAGGAATGGCTTAAGCCATAAGCCGAACAGAGCCAAACAGGTCTGGTGCCGTTTTCTCTGCTTTAAAGACATCGTCCTCGCAGAAGACTTTTCACGTCGAACATTTGCCCACCAGCACGCAGACAAACTGAATAACAATACAGGATGTACTGGCAAGAATAGCGACTACAAACGTTTAAAAACCGTACGTGCAAGATCACAGTAATCCACTGCTATAATAAAACTAACACTCTATGGGCACCACACTGCGACTTCACGGGGGCAGCGTCACGTATCTAAATCACGGCTGGATACAATTTTATCTTCCCTCCTGAAACCGAAAATCCAGACATATCAACAAAATCCAGACATATCAACATTACTTAATTTACTAAAATTATCCATCTCAGTAATCTCACTGTGCGCCCCGGTGCTCAGTCAATTTCCACACCCCATTATAATAAAAAACAAGAGCAAGGTGACTTTCTGCTCAAGTTCATAAAAAATAAAGATACGGAACAGACAGCTGTTTAATTCTTCAAACAAAATGAGCTGTTTGTCAAAATCAGCTACTTTGCAATCAGTACATGACTTCTCTAAAAGTACCTTTTGTCTCTCGTGCACAAAGGTTTATTTTTGATAATTCCGAAAGTTGGATGACACGCCCCCCGCGGGTCTCGCCTCCCGCTGTTCCGGACCCCCCAATCACAGGAAGTCAGACACACAGACACACTGAGACAGTAGCGCACACGGCAGTGTGGTGTCTACTGTACAAATATACTGCACTGTACCACTTGTGTCCTCTGGCTCATGTTGGATTGACTTTGTCAGTGTCTTTGAGGATTTAGGATATTTCGAACTGTGATCCCTCATAGTCTTCTATCCCCACAGTTTTCACAGTTCAAGACTAAAAAGAAACTGGACCATAAGACTCGTGGGGCGATGTGCATACTAAATAATACCTGACACGCAAAGCAACAGCTGGAAATCAAGTGTTGTCTGTAGTTTTCACTGCAGTCCGGCTCTGGGCTAAATTTAAATCACCAGATGCACAGATTTCTACCAAGTGTTAATGCGATTCCTTTCAAATAAGTGTGCTTGTTTCACATATCTAAATGCAAAGAAAACAAGATTACAGCGTCTTAAAACTCTTAAAGAGCTGCACGGTTAATGTTTACACTATAATCAAATCTCTAGATTGTCCTGTAAAGACTGTAAAAAGACAGGGCTCGGGCACAGCGACACCTAGTGGTCCAGGGCCGCAGCACCACAAGAGCCCAGTCTCACGTTCCATGTGAGGCTTTTATTGCAATAAAAACTATGAATCACAAATTAAAAATATACAAGCAACTTTAATTTCATTTTTTTTACCTACAGTACAATATTAAACTACATCATAAAAAAAAAAACGTTACTTGTTTCATCCATCATTTTCCAATCCGCTTTATCCAGTCCAGGGCTGTGGGTGCAGCCAAGTCTGTTTCAGCATGAAAGGGCCCCAGGCAGGGCACCCCCTGGGCAGGACACCAGTCCAGCTCAAGACAGAGGGACACACAGGCCCAACAACAGCTCTGGCAGCAGCAACACTGAACACTGTGCCACTGCGCTGCCCTGAACTCGGTTTAATAGTTTGGAAATTCAGAAAAAGTTTAATCATTTTACACATTCTGTTTGACTACCTAAACAATTGTAGCTTCTTACTGCACTTTAACAAAAAAGCCCCCAGCAGTGATCAGCGCTGCAATACTGTAAATGGCCACAATATTTGACGTGATCGGTCAGGGACAAATTTAACTCTAATTCTGCATTTTGAGGAGTTTAAGTCATGTCCACATCAGATTTTCCAGTGACTCACAACACAGATGTAGAGTCGTGGGCCAAATCTGTATTATAATCTAAAATTCCAGCAGTATTATCTTGATGATATAGAAGTTTATTTTCAAATGTCATTTAAAAACCCCTTCAGAGTCTCTTCTGCATTTCTGAACCTCATGGTAGCCAGTTAAAAAACTGAAATAAACTAGAGATCAATAATTACTGCAGACCAGGAGTTTGAATGCTTGGAGCTTTATTGAGTCACAATACAAGTGATCTTTCACAGCAGGCAGAGCAGAGCCAAGAGTCTCACCAGGGAGAGAGGTCAGAAGATACACTGAAAGGAGAAAACACAGAATCTCCAGGTAATAAACACCAACAACAGGACAGGAGACACAGTGAGAGGGAGAGAGGAGAGACGAGATTAATCCCTCAGTAATAAACACACACAACAGTAGAGAGAGGAGCTGGTGAATTGCTGGCATAAGCAACAATCAGATCTGGAAGCTCCAGGTCTGAGTCAGGAGAGGGAGCTGCTGGGTTTCTGAGGTCAGACTCAGACCCCAGACTCTGTCTGTATCCAGTCCCTGAAGCTGGAGACGCGGGTGTAGACGCCAGGAGAGTTGGGTTCAGCACAACCTCTTCCAAAGCTCACAATCCCAGCCTGGACCCAATCATCCCCCTTCTTGAAGACGAGAGGACCTCCAGAGTCTCCCTGCAGAGAGAGATAATCTTTGTGTCACAACGGTTAAGGTGTTTATGACTTAATGAGTTTATGAGTTGGGCTTCAAGTCTGCAAATCAGATGTTTTATATTTCAAACTCTTACACAGCTCAAACACTAGAAAGAAATATAAAAAATAAAAGCAGAAAGAAACAATGAACACGATTAATATTCTGTCTTCAAAAAGTCATGTTTTTTCAGAAACGAGCACCTTGAAAGGCTCAGTTTTTCCCCAGTGCTTCTGCAATGCGTCTACTACTTTAGACGAAACTGTGAAACTGATCAAAGACAAAAATAAATCTGCATGAAGATTTGTATATAGTCAGGCCTGGTATGGTTCTCTTTCACAATAAAATGATCAAATTATAAAAATAAGACTAAAAGGTCAATTAGTTCTATTATTATTGTTGAGCTCCAGGCAGTTCTGGAGGACTGTTTTGTGGTTTTTAGTCTGTAAAAACAGACTGACTAGCTTGCAGGAAGCCAGCTGATTACAGGCAGAGATAAACCGATAACAGTCAGAGTGTTTGTCTGCTTCTCTCACCACTGACAGGCACAGGCAGGAAAGAGCTGGTTTCACAGGCAGGCAATAACCAGAGCAGCTGTAAACCTCTGCCTGGGCTGACTTCCCTGACTGACAGACCAGCCAGACTCGCAGCAGGATAGTGTGAATCTGACTCCCCGCTTGTTTCCTGGAAAAGGGTTTTTTCCAGGAAACATGATGGAAAATGAAGAAATGATGGCTATGAATTCTGGTTTTCTGTATTTTGAAAAGGTTTTGCTTTGGTGATGATGTCTTTTTCCCATGTTTGTGTTTCTTGATAGAGCTATGAAGGAGTCTTGGAACAGAACCTGTGTATTTACAATCCTCAGAGTCATGACAAAGTCAACCCAGATGACTTCTTCAGAACACACAGTGCACAAACAAAATAAAGGGAAGAGAATTTAAAACCATGAAAAGGAGGCACTATGTTACACAAAGGGAGGTGGGAGTGTGGGACAAGCTGCCCAGCCATGCTGTTGTAGCCAAAACCTTGATTTCTTTCAAGAAATGATTAGACCCTTGGCACAGGTTCCACTCATTTACCAGACATGTTGAGTGTTACCCCAGGTCTCCTCCTGTTTGTGACCTGTCTTACATTCTTCTGTCTGTCTTACAGTTCTGATCATGATCTGTGTCTGGGGACTGTGTGAACAAGACAGCTGACTGCTGGAGACAGGAGGAAAGAGTGAGCTGATGTCCAGTTGGTGGGAGTCCTTCCCTCCCTGTTTGTACTACTGAATATAGTCTTGTACCTGCAAGGGTTAGAGAGCCTCATCAGCTCACAGGCAGTCTGACTCACCTGGCAGGCATCCTTCCCTCCCCAGTAGAACCCAGCACATATCATGTCTGGTCTAATGATGCCGTTGTACATCTGATTACATTGCTGGTTGTCTACAATGGGGATCTGGACTTCCTGTAGAGTGTAAGGATATTTCAGGCTCACTGGAGATATAGAGAGATTGAAAGACAAGACACATTATTATGTACAGTCTCATGCCCATCAGGACACAAGGAAGCTTCATTCTCACTTGAACTGACATGATGTGACACCTGGATTCAGAGGACAGGAGATCCAGTGACACTGATATCTGAACTGCTGGGAATCTGACATTTTCACAATTTGAATAGTTTATTCAAATTCAAAACTTTCAAATACCAGCTTAGCTCTTACTTTGTTAGTGTAGCATTTAATTCTGTTTCATTCACTGGTTTAATTTCTCTGTATGTCTAATGTTTCACTGTAACTTGAAATGATATATCACAAAAGACACAATATAAAACTATTAAAACTGAGAAGTCTGATGCTGTTCTGTTTTCTACATCTTTTCACAGCTGAATCCAGTCCTGGGGCTGTTACCTGCCAGGTTTCTAAAAAAGAAATATTCAAAAGGAAATATATTTACAGTATATTGCTTATAGACACACCTGCCCCCTCTTTCTGTACTGAAAGCATTGTCTTTATTTCACAATATGTATAAACTGATAACTAACAGTAAAGTCAGATCAGTAATAACACAGACACAGATATTGTTCAGTAACAGACAGATATTTACCCCAGTGAACTATAGTCTGTAACTCACTGTAAAGCCCTTTTCCCTGTTTCTCTCCTCCCTCTATTCTAGCCCACAGAACCATGACTGAGACACAGAGGTCAGTCTCCTACCGTTTTCTCGAATATTCCCCCAGCCTGTAGCCCAGCACTGCAAGCCTGGGCTGATGTTTTCAGAGCGTGAGGGCAGATTCACAGGACTGATCCACTGACTGAAAGACACCTTGTCCTCAAGCTCCACCAGGCCGATGTCAAACGCTGTTTCAGCCTGAGTGTACTTCTCATGTATGATGATCGTTTTTGCTAGGCCCTGGTACTTGGGAGGGTTCTGCAGCTGTAAAGCCCCCAGGGCCACCTGCACCACTGTGGCTCTAGAAGACATGGAGCCATCAGAAATATTAGCGGCAACAGTATAATCACTAACACAAGACACCTATTCACACTGCTAGTGGGATCATTAAGTAGTAGATGCTAAATAGAAACAGAAGGGGTGAAAGTTATGTGAGCTGGAGAAAACAAACAGTAGATATTCCAACAGGAGAAACAGTAATCCACTCAGCTGAACGACAAAAAGAGACAGTAGTAGCAATAGTATTGCTGCTGTAGTAGCAATGCACACAGAGACATTGTGTTTTTCACTACTGTGGTTACTCATGAGCTCAGATGAAAAGACATAACAGATTATAAACAAAGACACAACACAAAAAATCCACCAATTTTTATATTCCTATATTAGAGGTTTGTATCAGGACACCAGGTGGGACACCTGTTGTGGTTTGTATTAATAGAGCTCAGATACGGAGATCAGGACTAAAGGTGGGACACCTGCTGTGGTTTGTGTCAGTAGAGCTCAGATGCAGAGATCAGGACTCCAGGTGGGACACCTGCTGTGGTTTGTGTTAATAGAGCTCAGATACAGAGATCAGGACCCCTGGTGGGACACCTGCTGTGGTTTGTGTTAAGAGAGCTCAGATACAGAGATCAGGAATCCAGGTGGGACACCTGATGCCGTTAATCTTAACAGAGCTCAGATGCAGAGATCAGGACTTCAGATACCTGCTGTGGGTTGTGTTAATAGAGCTCAGATGCAGAGATCAGGACTTCAGATACCTGCTGTGGGTTGTGTTAATAGAGGTGAAGTAAACTTGTAGATACTCACTGTACCAGGCAGTGTGCAGCAGTGAGAATCCAGTGATCACTGATCAGAGAGCCACCACACTTAAAACAAAAATTCTTCTTCTCTTTCAAGATTGTGAGATAAGCCATCCAGGGCCACTGTCCCTCCTTCGCATCCTCACCACCCACTATAGAGCTCCTGGACAGAGGAGAGCTGGACACTGGAGAGAGACAGAGGGTTAATCACACAGACGAGAGAACTGTTGATAGGATTGAATTGCCTCCAGTTGACAGTTTTATGTCTTTTTCCTTCACAACAAAAGAGACCAGGTTTCTGAAGCCTTTCAGTGAAGGATATTCCTTGAGGTCTGGGAATGTCCATGGTGAAGTGGAGAGAGAACCTGGCAGCTGTGTGATGAAAAGGACCTGTCTGGTGATTGACAGGGTCATGGCAGGACTGGTTGAAGGGTCAGTAAGGAAGAGAGAGTCAGTCAGGCTTAGTGCTCCAGTGCCTGACTGTGGAAAGTGTAGGGTGAGAAGAAGGAATGAGCTGAGAGAGCAGGTCTGAGCCAACTTTGCCACACCTCTTCGTTAAAATTCTTCACTTTTAACCATCCTCAACGACACAATGATGAAGTAAATGATGTATTATCATGATCACCTTACCCTTTTTTTAAGCAGCCTCTTCAAAATGTGTCTAGACTCTATGGTACAGTATACACAGTATATACACGCTGTGCACGAACAGTATCTCTGTGAGCGTACTTCTGTAAGTCTACAGAGACAGTAAATCGGCTCAAGTCTTCATCACAATTTTGGGTGCTCAATCTCTTCTTACCTTCGGTGTCCAGGATCAGGCTCCAAGACAGAAGCAGCAAGAAAAGCATCTTCATCCTTCCAACTTCTCACTGGACACGGAGGACTGACACTTCCCACGTTCTTCTGAGCACTGGACACAAGACTCCTGCTCTGCTGTCCACTGGTGGAGACTCTGGGCTTTATATGATCTGCAGTGACACAGTAATTAGTACAAACCCTCCCACAGACCAAAGATCTCCTGTTTCCACACACACTACAAACACCCACCAACCACCTCTTTCCTCACACGCTACCCACACCCACACCCTCCCACTGACCACTTCTTCCACAGAGACCCAACGTAACCACAGAACACCTCTCTCCACACACACTGCAGAAACCCACAGAGCTCTCTTTCCACACACACTACACACTCTCAGTTTACACACACACGGAGACATTGTGCTTTTCACTACTGTGATACTCATGAGCTCAGATGAAAAGACATAACAGATGATAAACAAAGACACAACACAAATAATCCACCTATTTTTATATTCC